GAAGTCTTGGAGATAACAAGTTCCTGTCACTAGAGATGATCAGAGGCTAGACAGAAAATCATTTAATTTCCTGATAGCATAGATTTAAGGAACCTTTGCAGAATTAAGCTGGATGACTTTTAAAAACTTTTTAACCTTGAATTCTGTGTTCTCATGATTCTTCTGTGTTTCTAATGTATTTTATTTAAATTTTGGGGGCACTATTTGGGGTTAAACTCAGGACCTGGCACTTGCTAGGCAGTTGCTCTGTCTCTTGAGCCCCGCCTCCAAGCCACCAATGTTTGATATTTTATTAACAAGTATTAGTTGTACTGAGGGATACATTGTGACATTTACATATGTGCTTACAATGCACCTAATTAGATTCACTACCTCCATCATTCAGCCTCATTCCCTATCACCCCCTTCTTAGAAAAATTTCATTAAGCAGAAACTACTCTTGATAAATAAGCAAGATTCTCAATCTCTTTCTCAAAACAAGAAAAGTTGCAGTCATAAGCTTTAACTTTTTCCTTCATGCCTCTGAGAAAAGGAAATAAACGTTCCAGTAAGTCTTTTCTGATAAGACCTAATATTACAAGTATTTTCATTGTTTAAAAACATTGAGGTGTCAATTACAATAGTAATGCCAGGTCAGGAAAGACAACTAACTGGAATTACAGATTTCCCTTGGTTATTATCTGAGGGAATGGCAAAAATCTTTAAGTCTTCAAAGTCTTAGAAAAATCTTTTCTTCCAGTGACACTTCCAAGGACAAATTTCTACCAGCAGAGAGAACAGAACAAGCTGTAACTGTTAAGAATATTCACACAGAGCTTCTTGTTGCACAGGAAACAAAACTGATATTCTTGTGAGCGTTCTCAATTTAATACTTTATCAAATCAGACTATTTGAATTTGTTTTATGATGCAGAAAACTCTATCTTGTAACTTCAGGAGACTGGAGACATCTCTTTATCTCTTTTAGACTCCTTTTGTTAATTGTGAAGACTTTCATTTTGCTTATGGCCATGCTCCAGTACTAAGCATAAAAAATGAAAAGCAGGTCCAAGATTTCATTTTTATTTGTAGAAATGGAATAACACATGAATAGAATTTTACTTAAGAGCAGTGAAAGAAGGCACATACAGCATTAATCTTCCACATTTTCATTTTGCAAATGAAGAATGTTTTATTGTCACAAGAGTGGCAAAGGTTCAGAAACTCAGAAAGCAGGAAACATGAAGAGAACAATTTCTGTGCTTTCCTAAGACCCTCCATGAAGCTGTAGTCCCTTCTTTTCAGCTAAAATCTGACTATTTCACTTCTCCATTCCTTTTCTCTAATCTGTAGTTAGAATTGAACTTTGTAGTCCAGGTTATTTACATCTTTGCTGGAACCTTGTCTTCCACAGCCTGCTGAGGTTAAGTGAATTAGTGATAGTGACTTGGTAATTAAATACCCAGTAAATTACACCCAGTAAATGATACTGTCCTCTGTAATTTGATAGTAAGATTTAGAAAGTGGATGAAGTAGTAATAGCCAAGGGACTAATTAATTGTGGGCTTTTGAAAACAGTTCAGTATTTATTTTAAATGTCTGTAAATGTCTTACCAAATATTTTCCTGTAAGTCATTTTTTTTTTCCAAAACGGTTTGTCTTCTCAGTCCAGGCTGGCCTTGAACTCACAATCTTACTCATGCTTCCAAGTGCAGAAATTGAAGGTATGAGCCACCACAATCAGCCTAATGATCTTCATAAGTATAATTTTATCCTTTCAATTGGATTTTATCAGAACTTGTGACTATAGTAATTAATATCTTTATGAATTTAGTTTTCACTATTATACAAGATAGTCTAAATTTTGATGGAAAGAACACAATTTTATGCATTGGTTAGAAATTTTAATATTTATCTTACCAAAGACTCATTTATTTTAAATTTCTAAGAAAATTCTGAGTGTTACGGAGCAGTTTCAGTCTATGGAAAAATGCTACTGCATCTCAAGTCTACCAAACCCTAATGTTTGTATATTAGGTAAGTTGATCTTTATCAGTCTTGGTTTCTTCATCTATAAGATTACTATTATAATAATGTCTATCTTTTATGGTGATATGTGACTAAATTAGGTATGCAGGTAAGCACTCACTGTAGTATCTTGCACGTAGCAAGTTATTAATAAATACTAGTTGTTGTTATTATTGTTATCTTAACAGTGTGATTAGTTATAGAGTCATGATTCCATTCTTCACTGTCTGTGTTGATTCTTTGTTTCTGTCCCTTGTAATTGTATCTTCTCTCTCTTTTTTTTGGCAGCACTGGTGTTTGAACTCAGTGCCTCATGCTTGCTAGGCAGGTGCTCTTACTGCCCAAGCCATCCACCAGCCCCCTGTAATTGTGTTTTGAATTCTATCTTATAAAATAAGATTAATGACTTTGCCCAAGCAAATCATAGTCCAGTCTATTGTGTATAGATTCACTCAAATGACAGATCCACAGTCTTGATTCATGTCTTCACTCATCAGTCTGCACAGTAGGAGCTATGACTAGGTGGGGTAGTTTCTCTCAGAAGAGATTAAACCAATGACAAACAGCTCTTAGGAGTACACCTCTGCTGAATTTACATTCTGTCTTTATCCCTTCCCTAAATTTTTTTATTTTCTGGGTTTTTCTCTGTCTTAATATAAATTCCCTCTCTTGTTAACCAAATGAACACCAAACCTCAGAGAGAAATTTAGAACATATGTCCAAACTAGCCACCCTGTCTTTACTCTACTAGAAATAGCTCTTCAGTACCAAAGGAAAATAAGTTGCAGTTCCTATTCTTGAGATTTTAATTGAGTTTTAGAGACTTTAAGACATTCTCAGCAAAAAGCTCAAGATTTTGTATTTAATCTGTTTTTTAGCTATACATTTTTTTTGTTTATTTCCTTCTGTACATTTCAGAGGAAAGCTTATGATACTCCTTCTGGAATATAAGCCCTGAGAACTGCCACAGGTGATATATATATATATATATATATATATATAATATATATATATATATTCCTTTAGTCATCACATGATGATAAGTAATTCATAACTTATTAACATTTCAAAGAATATTGGTTAATTTATGGAATTACACTAAATTAAACTGAAAATACATTGCAGAATTGTAATGTAATAAAGTGATATGAGTGCCATGGACCTCTGCTTCTGGACAAGATGAAATAATACCTTGAACTCTCCCATTTGGATATACTCTCTAGATAAAACAATTAAAATCTAGACAAAATATATGAAACAATGGAACTCAAGACATTGAGCATAATGTAATAAAGGATAATGCTCGCTGAAAGATGGGAAATAAACGAGACGAACACTTCTAGTGCCCTACCTTACTATCTGGAGAAAGTTTTCCTATGTGGCACAGGTAAAGGGAGCCTAGATATAATACAATGGTTTCCTGAACTAAGGAAATGGAGTTATAGGTCAAGGAGAGAAAGAAATCTCTGGAGATCCAGAAGTGATCCCTGCAAGTACTCAGTTAAGTACTGACCTTACATGCAAGAGAGGAAACTGCCCAAAGTTGGGGTAGGGTCCACCTGAAAACAGCAGAGAAATAGTATTCACACTGCACAATAGGCTAGGAATAATGTCTGTTTTCAAAAGAGCGCAAAACCTTGCAATAAATTAGCATTAATACTAAGTGCTAGAACACGTCTTGCCAGAGTATTACGCTAAATTTAAGAAGGTTTAAAGCTGTTTTGGTACTACCTAGCAAAGTGAAAGAAAGACTCTAAAAGATCAAATCGTATCCAAAGAAATGAACACTTCATAGGACAAAGGTCAAATAATACTTAAAAAAAAGCCACCACCAAGCAAAGTAAAATATAATGCATTCTACCTAATAAAAAGTTATTGGCTTTTAAAGGAGCAAAAAAATACTATTCATAGTGGAAAAAAGAAATCAGTTGAAAGAAAGACATAAATGAGAGAATTTATATAAAAAATTTGACAAAAATACTAAAACAGTTGTTATTAACTGTATTTTGTATGTTCAAGAAGTCAGAGGAAGAATTAAGCATGTTTGACAGAGATGTGAAAGGTGGGGGAGAAAAGACCTAAATTGAATTTATAAAGATACAAACTAAGTTATCTGAGATAACAAGCACCTCATCTGAGATTATGACAAATTAGACATATTAAAAGAAAAAAAAATATCAGTGAAAATATAGTAAGTGAAAAACCACTGAAGATACAGTAAGAGAAACAATCCTTGAGATAAAAAAGAAAAGAAAAAAAAGACAAATAAAAAAACAGGTCAATGAAATGTGTGATAGCTTACAAATATTTAAATAACATGAAAAGGGCAAAGGGTACAGAAGAATATTTAAAGAAATGTTGGTTATTTTTTCCAAGTTTGATGAAAATTATAAATGCACAGATCCAAGACACTCATCAAATTCCTAACATATGTCGTGAAAAAAGATATGAAGCACATTAAAATCAAATTAAAACCAGTGATAAGGAAAATCTTAAAACAGGGAAAAATAATCCATAACTCACAGAGGGGCAGAGACAAGTATGATAATAAAGTTTTCATCAGAAACAATGCAAGTCAGAAGACAATGGAGCACTATCTTTAAATTACTGGAAGAAACATTTTCAACTCAACCATGACTGTTTTTAACCAGCGGAAATATCTTTCAAAAATGAAAATAACTAAAGACTTTGTCTGATACACAAAAGCTGAGGGATTTGATGACCAGTTGATCTGAACTGCAAAAAAAAAAAAAAAAGCCCAACAGATAAAGAAGCCCTTAAGCTGAAAGATTATTCTAGACAAAAACCTGGATCTACACAAAACACTGGAGATTTCTAGAAATTCTAGTTTCATGAATACACATGAAGACACTTTTTGTTATTATTTTAATCTTTTAATAATTCATCATTTAAAGGAAAAATAACAAAAATAAGTAGACTATATAAAACACATAGCACATGGCTAGAAAGGAAGAAATAGTACACTGTTTTAAAGTTCTTATACCAAAGTAACATACCATTTGAATGTAGACTGTGATGAGTTAAAGATGTTTTATCATAAGCTCTGGTCAAGCCCCCTTTCTCAATGCAGAAAGAAAACAGAAGCGTTTTTTGGAATATTGATTTGCAGGACAACTTAGAAGCATTTTTCAAAATCTAATTTCTGTTTCTCTTTCCCCAACTTCTGATCTTTCAGAAATCCACCCTATGGAGACTTACAATATGAGTATCTTTTAATATAGTAATTCCTTTTCTAGGCATTTAATCTAAATAAGAAATAAGACAAGTACCCAGATATGTATAGGGAAGCATTCCATGACTATATTATCTGTAAAAGCAAAAAAAAAAAGTTGGAAATAATCTAAGTAGCCCTCAAAATTATTTAAATAAATTCTGTTTAGTCATCAATAGGATGCAATTATAGAAATTAAAATCATGATACAGAGTTGAGAATGTAGCCCACTGATACAGCCCTTGATTGCATACTTGAAGCCCTGGGTTCAATCCCCCTCACCTCAAAAATATAACTGTATTTTGATATAGTTAAATATAATAGTGGAACTAAATCTACAGTATATTGATTAATGAAGAAAATTTAAATAATACATATAGAATAACCCTTTTTGTTTAAAAAAGAGAAAAAAAACAACTGATATGTGTACATGGGTATACTTCTTAAAATATGCACAAGAATGCATAGAGAGGGCTACTTATCATGATTAATTCTGGGTAGAATTTCTATTTTTTTATCATTGTAAGGAACACACATTAATTTTACAGTAATTTTTAAGCTAATGAAGCTATTTCCACTTGGAAAAACTGCCTCTTAAGATTATCGCAGTTGCTTTAGTAATATTTTTTAATATTCTCTATACCTTTCAACCAGAAATGTCTTCTAATTATAGGGTTTTTCACATTGGTGTGAAGAGGAAAGGTGTTTGTTTATTCCTTCATTTTAAAACCATTGTCTTTTATTTTTTGTTCAACAAGTTCCAAAACATATAAGCATTTAAATTTTTTTGTTTATTTCTTTATTAGGTATTGTGAAGTTTTGAGCTTGTTATCAACTTGATTTGCAAACTGGATTTGATTTTACATTTACTACTTAGTAATTTTTAGGTGAATTCATGTCACCAATTTTGATGGCATTACCTTTAGTATGTATAAATGTAATCTCTGAATAAGAGACAAGCTACCATCCCATCAACAAATAATCAGGTCATCACCCTGCTGTGCCATTTGAGGAGCTCATTTTCTTAACAACAATCTCCAATAAGACCACTATTTTTGAATTAGATTATAGTCCAGTTCATTTTCAGGTTCTCTCTTAGCACGAATCAATCCAAATAGTCTGACGGGATCATCATGAATATTTTCTTCTATACTCTGGCTTTCTGGTGAGAAACTCTCTACCAAATTAGTCTTAGAAGCACTGGCATCTGTTTCAGGTAATTGCTCATGTCTATTTCTGTCTGACGAGTGGGCATTCTGCTTCCTGTGCTTTCCTGTGAAGCTGTGGTTAAGTGAGGCATAGCACATCTGTGTTTCAGTAGGTACCTAAAAATAAAGGTATATTAATTTTTCATTGTTAGCCTGTTCTTTAGCTTTCATGACTTCAAAGACATTTCTATAGCCTATGAAAAACAGGCGATTTGTTTTCATTTATCAGTTAGGATGTCAGAACAAAAATCAACAGTTACTCAAGAGTTAAGAAAAATGTTTAGATGAAACTTTTCCTTAATTTTTATTTCCTTCTTATAGGCAAAATGTACATGATAATTTTAGGTTGACTCTCACCTGCTCCTATGTCTACCTTTACCTCAGTAGTTCTTGACCTGTGTTGTTTTTACTGACAATTGGAATAAAAATAGTCCAATTTCTTTAAAGAGAACAAGCATAATTGGAAGGAATTTATCAAATTACAAGGTTTACTTTACATGTGCTTAGTAATTGGTCATTTAGGGTAACCCACAAAAAGCCACATTTTCCCTATATTTTTAAGATTCAGAAGTATAAAGATAACTGTGTCTACTTACATGACTGGCAGCTAGGAAAGAATTAAATTCTTCATCTTTCTCTATTATTTATTTCTTTTCTCACTGTTCCTAGATTCCTTGTAAGCTCATTTTGGGTCATCTTGAAGGTATCTGCTCACATCTAGGAGGTCTATTGGTCCTCTCTGGCCTAGAGCTCAGTCAATACCAAAATAAGGACAAGAAACCAGTGAAACTTGGGAGCAAAAAGCTGCAGCCAAGATCTCGAATTTGATGTTGGAAAGAATAGCATTGGATCCCAGCTCTACCATATGCTGATTATAGAACCTTAGGCAGCTTTTAAAAACCCTACTGAGACTCAGTTCTCCTGCTTTAAAATGAAAGTGGTAATAGCTATCTCATGTGTCATTATGATTGGGAAATAGAAGTCATGTATATGGAAGCTTAGCTGCTGTCCAAAACAATGTGGTAATGTAATCATTAGACATTGAAGGAGAAAATTTAAAGAAAGCCATTCAATAAACTAATGATTTCTGTGTTCAGACTTTAACACTAGGCCAAAATTATACTAATTTGTGGGGGAAGAGGGTGAGGAAGTAATGTTTGGATTAACTAAACTCCTAACACAAGGGTAAGTATCTCCCTATTGGTACTCATTTTGGTGTTGAGTGGAATGTCCTACATTTTTCTATCAGGTAAAAGAGATGATTCTACTTATAACCTCCCTGACTTCTTTGTCAGACTTCCTATTTTTAAAATAATCATTTCTGGAAATTTTCAAAATTGTCTAACTGATATCCTTGCTGTCATCTTTTCCCCCTGCCATTTTCAAATTACCTTTCTAAGGCACAACTTTCATATTTCACCATCCTATCCTCCAATATCTTAGCCTCTAGACTAAAGTCTGAATTTCATATTTTAATCTTTGTGATTCTCCATTTTGATTCCCACAACTCTTCTATATAAACTGCATTCCAGAAAACTGGATAGTTGACTGTTTCCAGTACATAATTTCTGCTGTCATCTGCTTTGCCTTTCCCCAAACAGATAGGAAAGATGTCAATGAAGTATGAAAGGTACCTAGTACCACAAAGAGTTGATTATCTTTTTCTCTGTCTAGCACTTTATTCTATAGCTCTTCCTTTGATAAACTCCCCCTCTTCCTTTAGTAAAGTGTTCCCTATCAGTTCTGGAGAGGCTGATAATTATAGTGCTACACCTCAAGGCCAGGTGACCCCATGTCACCTAGGTAGGACCAATCATTAGTTGCCCCCCATTCCCCTAGCAAACAGAGCCCAGGAAAGAAGATGAGATTTTACCAAAGACAATTAGATAACATTTTTTAGAACTGAGATATATATTCAATGATAAAAAATATGTATCTTTTCCATTGGGTTGGGAGGAAAAAAATACGGTGCTTCTTGTGCTTGCCCAACCTCATTAGAAGAGTCTGTTGATAATATAAGAGAACAAAGACGCTGAGTTTGCAAGGAGAAATGGAGTGTGTACCCATAGTTAATCATCTAAAAATAAAATAACGCCCTTACATTTATTTCTCATATAAGGCAATAATTTCCTTTTTATGTCAAAGTGGTTTGAATTTAGTTTCTGAAAGAATTTCTAATAATTCATGACTGGTCAACACCTGGTCAACTTTATCAAATGCTGCAGAGTCTAATGAATGTGAGTCCTGAGAAGGATCATGAATTGTACATTTTAAAGTCCTTGAGACTTCCATAGTGCTGTTTTAGTTGAGTACCTGGGTGTAAGACATGGAGCCAGGGATGAAGAAATATGTGTCAATGGAAAGAAATGCAAACAGAGGATGGTGAGATAAAGCTGAGAAATTAGAGAGAAAAACCAGTTGAAGTTAAGTTTTTGTCCTTTTGTTTGTTTTTGTTTTAAATATTGAGAACATTTGCATGTATTTCTAGAAAACTAGTAATGACTCGTTTAAAGAAAGAATGGAAAATTAAATAATTGAAAGTGTAAGATCCTGAAAGAATTAGGAAAAATGGTAAAGAGCATAAATATTGGTTTTGAACTGGAGAGATGTCTCTGACATAGAAAAGGAGATATTGATTAGAGATTTGGAAATACAAATAAAAGGAATGAGTTCATGCTTTTATCCCTTCAATTTTATAGTTTTTGGGAACTCATGTGAACTGATTTTATTAATAGGTTTCCTGACTCACACAGTAGACTGACATACTGAAATTATAACTTCTGAACCACTCACATCATTTTCAATAAGCAAGGAGAGCATTTACATATTTTCCAAAAAAAACCCCACTTTCTCCTCAATCTTCTGCATCAAATGGTAGATTTCTTTAGCTTTTGTGATAGACCAAAGTACCAAATTATTATCATAATGTACTGGGTAGATCATGACTATCCTAGTAAAATAGAATTGAGCAAATATAAAGAAATTACTTTTAATGTGTGAAACTAAATTTATAAAAAGAATAATAAAGACTAAATTATTGAGTGGTATCTTTAAATATATAATTTATAAAAAAGCAGACTTAAAGATATTATATGTCTTTGCATAATTTCTACTTGAGTGAACACAACATGCAGCTCAAAGAAAGCTGGCTTGTACAATTCCTGGTTATTAAATAGTAATTTCTATTCAGAATTCTCAGTACTTTTACAATTAAACTGCTGTGAGTCTCTACATTTCATATGTTATGGTTTTATTTTAATCTTCTTTAAGAGTTTTTCTTTTATTATCATGGATTTAGCAGATTATATTATATCATGTAGTTTTTCATACTTTTTATCTAAAAATATATTTTACAATTAACCAAGTATCACATGTCAGATTTGGTGACTCATACTTTTGTCAAATTTATTCACATCTTGACTTATTACTAAAATTTTCAGAAAGTCTGATTTCTCCTAAAATTCACATGAAGAAAAGAGAAAAATTCTCCCTTAATGGAAAGTTTCCAAAATGTGACTCATTTTGAGTCATAGGATTGTAAATGGACCCTGCCTCCTTAGTACCCGTGTGCTCTAGGACAAAATTTTTATTCTTTGCAAGCTTTTGCAGAATGGGAAGAATGATGTCACTTCACTCATAAGAATCTAAGGAGATAATGCTGATAAAGCACATAATACAGGACTTGACCCGGAACAATTATTTAGGAAATATTCCTATTACTATTCCCAGACAGTAGTGAGAAGTTACAACTGAAGAGACAAGATTTGGGAAGAGAACAAAGAAGAAATTTATGACACTGCAATGGCATTGTAGGATAAGAATTTTTTTGAGACAGGGTCTCCCTATGTATTCCAGGCTGAGATTGAATTTATGGTCTTCCTGCCTCCACCTCCCAAGTGCTAGTATTTCAGGCATGTACCATTGCACCTGTCTAGGTCCTGATGGCTAGGTCTTGGGAGCCATTATACATGAGTCAACTATTGTATATATATCTTTGTGATACATAAACTTTTCAATCTGAAAGAAAAAGCATAACTGATTATTTAGTAGTAGTTCACTCACCCTTTCAAGTCTATGGCCTTTCTAACTATACATAGTTTTGACTCTTTGGGTGTGGTTCGAGCTTTGTTTACTTGCCTCTGAGTTTCCCTGCAGAGCTCAGGTCCCAGAACTTGACATTTAACTCAGGCTGCAAAATTTCTAAGAAGCTATATCAAATATATATATCAGAATGCAATGCTCTTATGCTCTTGAAACATGCCCATGTGCTTTGCCTTAGTCTGAACTTGGCTTTGGATATAGAAAACAAAACTCACATGTTCAGCTGAGGTGGTTTCTTGCATGTCATTTACAGGCCTCTTTGGTCGGGCTTTCATTTGTTCATAACAATTTTCATCCATTGGTTCTTAGGAATTGAAAAGATTGTGAATTACAATGGAAAAGTGAAAATGCTGGTGTGAGTAAAAATTCATGATCTAAACAACATTTACCTATAAATATGAGACTCTCAAGAATCACTTAGTCTTTTTGGTGGAGATGCAAAGAGGTTAAAGAAGTACAAACTTACCTGTAGATCTGACAGGTAAGCATTAATGATAAGACAAAAAGTTCTTAGGATAAAGACTACATCATATTAATTTTCCTACTCCATTGCAGGACATGACATTGTCATTTTAACTACCATTTAGAGGTCATAGAGTTCCACTAGTTAAAGGACTGCTTGTTCTCTGCCATTTAGGTGTGATTGCAAATATTCATGGTGGCACAAAGCACAGTGTTTGAACATCAGTGATTATAATTTTGTAATTTGTCCCATGTCAGTTTTGCTTGAAGGCATTTAAAACCCAATTTCTAATTTGGTAAAGATGGTTTCAGTTATGATTTTCGTCCCATCAATCAGTGACAGGATGGTTCAGGGAGACTGTCTTAAGAGTCTGGGCCTGTCCAATGTTGGTCTTAAGTACTTAGGGCATTTTTACAGTATTTAAAACCCAACAGATTTGCACTCATTTCACCCTTCATGTTTATTAAGTCATCTGTACCTTTCTTCTCTTTGATATGCTCATGCTTGTTTAGAGTGACCAGTAACCTGGCATAAATATGCAATGCATTATTTTGATGTCAGAGAAGAAAGTATATATTTATTATACCATAAGAACCTAATAACCTTTCAACTCTTTCTGGAACCAACACACAGAAATGCTCCACAAAGAGGTATTTCTCAAATCATGGTCCATGGAAAATCTGCATCAGAATCACCTGTTAGTTTGTTAGGTAGTCAATTTCTAAACCCAATCCAGAACATGCTAAATCAGAATCTGGGATATGATACCTAGGTCACTTAGGTGTGGAAATTACAGATAATTTCTGGTGGCATTAGCCACCAGAATACATAAAGTTAAAATCCTCAAATATCACAAGTGGGCACCACAAGTCAGCAAAATACAAAGTGAAACAGAAGGGAAATTATTTTAGTAATATATACCTGAAAAATAGTTTCCCATTTGTGCAGATATGAGAGACCATTTTACAATGGAAGTAAAGACTAAATTAAATAAATATTTGAATCCTATAAAATCTGCAAATTTCTAGCTTTCAGAGGATTCTATACTGTCTTGATGTGGAAATATTTATATGTATTGGTACATCACAGGAAACCTCTGTATTGGAGATGTAGTAGCAACAGGAAATATAATCCCAGAGAGTCTCCTTTCATGAATGGAGTTAAGGTTTGCAAGGGAAAGTTAGCCACATCTCTCATCAGCTTTAGGACCTGAGCAAGGTTCTTTATTTTAATAATGTAGAGTATTTTGTTGTTAAATGGTTGAGAAAGTTCAAGGAATAAGGAATGCTGAGAATTGAAGAGCACTTGTATTTAAAATAGATAGTGATGATTTTGTTCTTCTATCTCCCTACCTGATATCAGCCCAGTCCCAGCTTCTCTATTTTAAAAGAATGATTTAAAACACAGGAATCCAGTGAACATGTTAATTGTTACAAATTATGTACTACAGATTTGCTTTTATATACAGACCATAAAGCACTGTTTCTGTGGATCATTTTATGTTCTAGAAATAGCTTTATTTCACAGAATTTTGTATGTGTCAGAATTCATGGTAATAGAATCTTCCTGTATTCTCAATATTACTAGAGTGAAACAAAAAGAATGTAGAAAAACAGGATGTTAATTTACACTGAATATAACAATGCAACTTATAATACATACATTTAGAAACATATTATATATATTAAGCATGTTTGAATTTATGATTTCCACTAGGATATTTAAATGTGATTGTAATAAAAAGAGTCACCTCAAATTCTTTGTGAAGTTAAGTGAAGTTTACTTAATTTATTGACAACTAATTTAGAATATGGAAAAATAAAACTTACCTGGGACTATATTATCTAAGTTACCATAAATTGGAGTTTCTTCAATATAATATTCATCAACCCTATAACAAGGAAAATAATTTACTTATTAGAGTCTACTTTATGCACAGTAAAACATCTAGCTCATAAAAATTATTAGTTAACTAATATTTACACGCTAATAAATAGTTTCTCAACTGAATTCAATATTGAGTGAACTATTGTATGTTCTTGATCAGTCTCAACCAGCCAAGGTAGATATGCTCATGTGTGAGTGAGTGAATGCATGTCTGCATTTTACATGGTGTGTGTGCATGTACATAAATTGAAAAAGTTGGCCTTGGGAACTTTTTTAAGGTAATAATGATAGTAAATGATTATTCAGCACTCATTGTGTGTCAAGTGCTATTTGAAATTCATTTCTGATATTTGTTCATTTAATTCCTACAATAATCCCAAAAGACAAACACTATCTCATCCCCATTTTAGGGATAAGAAATATGAGGCACACAGAGCTTATATAATTTACTCAAGATCACAAATCTAGCAAATAGAGTGAGGTTTATAATCTAGGTTACTATGCTCTTAACTATATGACTATACTGCCTCTTTGCTTTCACCCAATATCACTCTGAATGGTTCCTTAAAGCTGTGCTTCTTAAGTACATACTGTAGACTCAGATTGGCAGATATAATACAATGATTTATTCCATCTGATTGATCACATGCTGAATTGGGTGTTTGGGGAAACTCTGCAAAGATAGTATTCTTATTCTCCACTTTACAGAGGAAAATCCTGGCATTCACACAGATTAATTTATTTTCTTTAGTTTTATGTATAATACAGAATGAATTATCAATTATTGAACCTTTCCTTTATATCAGGGTTCATTCTACCTTCAACAATCCTATGAGATGTGTGTGTTTAACCCTGTTGTACATATAAGAAATTTATAATTCATAGAGGTTAAATTGTCCAAATACACAGTTACTGACAATGGTATGATTGCAACACAAATTTGATCCTAAAACTCCATGCTCTATCTACATAGTGAAGAAGTCATGCAGAAGGTGATGCAATTCAAAGGCTATATGGAAACAGTCTAGTAGATCATGTAAGGAACATAGTTTTGTGCTTTTCTAGTCAAGAGAGCTGGCAAGAATATATGACTATTTGTTCCTGCTCTTTGATTAAATTTCCTTCCAGCCTCATATGAGTAATGCTATTATTACAGTAGACACCCTTCCATTGTCACCAGATTGGCATCCTACCAATGTCACCTACCATTGATAACAGCCTTCATGACTACCTTTCTCAATGGCAACCTGAGAAGAGAGGAACATCTCAGGTGGTAGACAATGATATTTTATAAAATAATACCAACTGCTTTGACTTTGAGATTGTATGTCACTGAGAGCTGGGGGGAATTGTGTTTGTAGGTAAAGAAACTCTTATTTCAAGTCATGACACATATATTAGTCCCTGTGTTGCTTAAAGAAGACAAGATTCATGGAAATAGTAAGTAGATATCCTTAAAAAAATAACAGTTCAAATGACGCCTGCATGAAATGGCTTGAAAAGTCCAGATGGTGGCCTACATTTCACTTATTTGGTAATAAAGGAAATCATCTGTTACCTTTCTTTCTATCCAGTAATTAAATACAGCTTAATATTAGATGTGGTATGGTCCCTGCTCATGGGTTTTCTCTGGCTATGCAGAAAATATTATAGCAAAAGATGAAGACTTTTTAATAATATAATCCATCCATTTTCCTAGCCCACATAGACAGCAGATACAACCTGCAAATGATAAATCATGTCTAAAAATGAATGTTGTTTCATTCCCTATGAATGAAAAAATTAAGTGATTTATAATGCAGTGCCCTGTGTCTACAGATGGGTCTCAAATGATTAATCATTTCAAATAAACTGTTATGAGGGAGCAGTTGCCTAAAGAAAAAATTTTAAAGATGTATTTTTACTTAGCTATGTTAAACAGTTCCAGCCTGTTGAAGACATGTAATAAACTTCAACAACTAATGTTTGACAGTGTTTTATATGGAAGATTATAGTAATTACTTTTTAAAATAAATTAATAAATGAGCCCATAGCTGAGAGGCTAGTCCACATCTGAGTTTTGAGCCAAATCAGACTCTCTAGTACTCTGAGCATATCTGGTCCTCTAAACCAATAACTACATTTATCAACATGTCAAAAATTTAAGCTGTATTAATTATATATTTTACTATGTCCAAAGTTTGTCCTTTCACTTATATTTTATCTAGTCCCCATTTTAAAATTTTTACTTTTATTTATTGCAAAATTTTTTTTTAATTCCTCAAATGCTTCATGATCTAAGTGAATTTATTCATTTTTTTGAGAACATTATTCTACCTGAGTTTCTTTGGATTTCACTTCTCTAGGTTTTAATCATCTTATTCATAAATCAAGAATATTAAAGTAGTTGATTGTTTTCAGTTTTCAAAATCTAGGATATAAATATAGGGTTCCAGCATTAAAATAAAACTAAAAGATATTTTAACAAAACTAAATTAAGTTGTTTTTAAGAACTGGAAAGTTGTCAGATTGAGGAAAGAGCAAGCTTAGCAATCTATCAGAAATTGTTTTTGGCAAATGTTAACATAATTTGTTTAACAGACATTTCCTTGCATAGGCAAAATATAAGTTTGGGTTCCATTGGCATATACATATTATTTAAAGCCATGAAAGAGGGGAGGGACCAAGTTGACAGATTGCTGATAGACCCCAGAACACAAAGCTCCCATGAACCTGAAAGATAACCCTAGGTTCATGGAAGCAAGGTGGTCTGTCTAGTTTGCTAAATGAGAGGTTACCAATACATAGGCAGACCATACTTTCAATGACCAACCTCCAAATAAGCCTTTTAAAGTGCAAACTCACCTCAAGCATGCAGGTGCCACCAGCAACATGCCATGCTGCCATGCTGTTGGCAGGTACAGTTGGGTTTTTTTGTTTGGGGGGTTTTATGTTTCTTGGACCAGAGTGGCCTCCAGTCCACACAAAACCATCTAAAATGATAAAAATCAATACACAAGGCTGTGGGCCCTGCAAGATCATGGGTGAGATCTGGACTGCTAAGAAAGGGAATAACTGCCACCCACCACCCATAGCCCACCACCAGCCAACCTGAGTTCCTCCAAAACCAGATAAAAGGGCCTACAATCCATTCAGGTGAGCTTTCTGCTTTCAATCCTGGAGGATATCACATAGTCTAGCTCAGTTTGTATTACTCTTAACCTTTCTATCCTTCTTAAATCCCTGACCATAGTGCCCACCTCCACAATAACTGAACTACACACATTACAGTCTTAGTAACCTGCAGCCCCCACACCTCATACATCTGCTCCCCTTCTCCTCATCCTCCTTCCTTATCTCCTCTTCCTCTACCATTGTTTTTATTACCTAAGCTTTAATCTCTATACAAACAACTTTAATTTCCCCAACATCTCTGTGTTTATAGATAGGACTGCCAAGGGTTTTATATTTCACAGAAATAACTGATTTAGCATTGAGTTTATGAATTTGTTGTTGCTAAGTTAGACTCTTATGTCAGTGAACAGAAATTATACAACATAGCCAACAACCAATTCAGCCAGAACATAGAAATTAAGTCAAGGAAAAGATTTCAGGTGACTAAAACTCCCAACAAACTAATTGACAGCACATGAGCAAATCTCAAAGTAGAAGCATGGGAAATAACAGATGACAGGGGAATATGACTCCTCAAAAAGGTCAACAATCACACAATAGAAGATCTAATGGACAACGAAGGGGATGAAACCTCAGTTTCTGAGTTCAAAAGAATGATAAGAATGTTTAATGAGTTTAAAGAGGACACTCAAAAACAAGTCATTTAATTCCAACAGAATATGGATAAAAAGCTCAAGAAAGCACAGAAAGAACTAAATGAACTCAAAGAGGATACAAACACCTAAATGAAATCAAGAAAGACACACACACACACACATACACAAAATGAAATAAAGAAAACAATACAAGATTTGAAAGAGTTGCTTAATAAAGATATAGAAAGTCTCAAAAAAAAGCCTTTAAGTCAAACAAAAAGCACAGTTGAAAGCCATTCCAAGAGTCTGAAACAAATAAAAGACAGAATATACCTATATACAAAATAGGTATAGTGGAAAAAACAGATGAATACATAGAGGAAAGAACAAAGAATTATGAAAGGAATATGTAAGAATTCTGCAACCCCATTAGAAGACCAAACCTATGAATCATAGGCATTGAAGAAGCAGAAGTGGTACAAGCAAAAGGACAGGACACATACTCAAAAAAATAATAGCAGAAAAAGATGCCTGTCCAGGTGCAGGAAGCCTCTAGGGACTAAAATGACATGACCAAAAAAATAATGTTTCCACAGCATATTACATATAAAACAATAAGCACAGAGAATAAGGAACTACTGAAAGCTATAAGGGAGAAAGGTTAAATGACATATAAATGTTATCCCATCAAAAACAGCAGATTTCTCAAAAGAAATCTTAAAAGTAAGAAGGGCATTGAATGAGTTATATCAAGCACTGAAAAAAAATTCAAACTTAGTATACTTTACCCAGCAAATTTATCATTCATAATTAAAGGAGAAGAATCTTTCATGATAAACAGAAATGAAAAAAAATGTATGTTCACTAACCCAGTACTTCAGAAGATATTCAAAGGAATCTTACATACCAAAGATGAAAATAAACAAAGCCATGAAAGGATGGAAATAATTAAACCTCAGGAGAAGAGCAGATAAGCAATTGCAAAGTGGCATAGAATCAGTTGCACACACACACACACCACAATCAATAAAACAGCAGGGATTTACCTCTTAATATTAACAGTGAATGTTAATGGTCTCAATTCTCCCATCAAAAGACATAAATTGGAAAGCTGTATTAAAAAAGGAAGCCCCAACAGCTTGCTGTTTATAAGAAACCCATCTCACTTACAAAAACAAAACATTGCCTTAGGGCAAAAGGGTATAAAGGATTTACCAAGAAAATAGCCCTGAAAATAAACAGGAGTAGCTATACT